GGTAACTGGTAACGTGGCGAATAATTGTAAAAGTATTTTAATGTTAGGTCGAAGATTGGTGCGATGAGAGAGTGAATCAAGAGCAGAATTCGGTTTTGGAATAGTATTTTGAGTCCATTGTTGCCTCCATATGAACAGGTCAGCTCTGATTGTAGATGAGGTATCATCATGGAGATCTTGGACATATATTTTAGTAGGTTTTATAATATTTTTATCGTCATACATATTTAAATTGGCCGGAATAAATCCTTCAAGTGGCATAACATCAATAAGCCTTTGATTAAAACGAGCATCCATTGATTCTATTAAATAGTCAAGATACATTATACATATAAACACGGCCCATGGGGGGGCTATAGCCCTCTTAGCCCCCCCCTTTGGCTACGCCACTGTTAAAGACTTAAACAAAGTTTAAAGCTTAAAGATTTACACAAAAAAATTTACTCCAAAAAATGTTTGAGTATGTTATTACCGAAATCGAAACTGTGATTTGATTTCATATTTTAAAATAAATGGACCTCTCTGTTATGCTCATGATATTGATGGTTTTTTCAAAGCATTATTACAAGACTATATTATATTTGATTGGTAATTGTTTGTAGATTCTTCACAACGAAGCTTGAAAGCTGTTCTATTGCATAACGGTAACCTAAAACCATGTATTCCAATTGCACATTCGGTGCGTTTAAAAGAATCATATGATAATATGAAAATATTACTTGATGCTATGAAGTATAAAACTTACAAATGAAAAATCTGTGGTGATCTTAAATTTATTGGCATGCTTATGGGCATGCAAGGAGAGTTCACCAAATACTGTTGTTTTTTGTGCATGTGGGATTGTCATGCTACAGCAGAACATTATACTAAACAAGATTGGAATCAACGAGTTTTTTATGAGCCTGGTACAAATAGTGTTCAATCAATTCCTTTAGTGGATCCAAAAGATATATTTTTACCTCCACTATATATAAAACTAGGTTTGATAAAAAAAATGTTGTGAAAGCCATGGGTAAGACAAATTCTGAAGGATTTCAGTACCTTAAAGAAAAATGTCCAAATATAAGTGTCGCTAAACTGAAAGAAGGTATACTCATTGGACCTCAAATTAGAGAACTTATAAAAGACAATGATTTTGTGCGTCGTCTTAATACAGCTGAGCAAGAAGCATGGTAAGCTTTTATATGGACTTGTGAAAACTTTTTGAGGAATAACAAAGCGCTTACGTATAAGGATGGAATTCAAAATCTATTAAATGCGTATAACAAACTAGGATGTCGAATGTCAATGAAAATCCATTTTTTACATTCACACCTCGATTTTATTTTTTCGATTTAGGTGCGATCAGTGATGAACAAGGCGAAAGATTTCATCAAGACATCCAGTTAATGGAAACTCGTTACCAGGGTTTTTGGAATGAAAGTATGTAGTATGAAAGTATGGACTACTGTTGGATGCTATATCGTGACGTACCTGATATAAAATATAATAGAAAATAATTTTTACAACATTTTTAAATATTTAAATATGTAAACTATTTGCCTTTTTAATTTAATTATTTTATTATGAATATTTGTTTGAATTAATTTATTCCATAATATGTTATAATATTATAAAAAAGCAATAATTAAAAAAATAAAGGTGATAGAAAAAAATCTAATTACAAATTTAAAATCAGCACAAAAAATTGGTTTGGAAAAATGTATATTCAATCCTGATGATTCAAAAAATTAAATTTTGTAGACCAGTATTATTTATAGACAAAGTTTGAGACGTTACTGGGAGAGGAAACGAAGAACGTATCATTGATTAATGGGTTTTATTGGCTTGGTAATTTAACGTAGAATCTTTTATAATGGGTCAGTAATTTATGATTTTCTTTTAATTACTTTTATAAATCATGACTTCTATAAAGTACCTATTCTATTATAAAAGGTATACCTGAAGAATATACCAAAGCACATATTCCAAGTATTATATATTTTATTACTTAAACACTTACATTCTCAGTTGACTTCCAGAAAGGAAAATATGAGAACAGATTTCACTACGTCCAGCGGATGATGCAATGTATATTCTGTTACAACTTTCTTTTATTGAATAATAGGAACAAAAGTACGATGTAATGATGCAACTTTTAACAATCAAATTAATAACTATACATTTCTATGTTATCCCTTGTAAATTATTAAAATTTAAAAAAGAAATTATTAAAACCATCTGCATGAAAATTTTGTAGTATTTTAATATATTACAAATAATTATATATATATATATATATAAATGGTGTACTAATAAAATGAACATAAATATAAGAATATATTTCAATAGAATCCAACATCGTGTGGAAAGTATTTTAAACAAATGCATATGATATAATTTGTGGTTACCGATATATTTTTTTTAGGATTTTCAATAAACATTTTCATTTAATGCCACCTTTTTTTATCGGTAAATTATTGAAGAACTCCGTTAACTCATTGTATGTGAAATGTTAAAGCGATTTACACAATACTACATAATAATTGATAAACTTAAAGTAAATACGTAATTATTCATAATGGTTAACACCTTTAAGAAATTTGGTTTTTGAAAAATTAATTCATTATTTGAATGCAGTTCATAAAGAAGTAATTTTAAGTTTTATAAGCTTAATACCACAATGGCATAATTTAAAAATATAGGTATCAATAAAAAAATTATTTTTTTATTCTAACTCAATTAACAGTCAAACTTCTATAGGAGCAAACCTTTTTGTAAACAGCAAATAGTTTTAACATAAAATTATCGCTAAACCGATTTTTAGTAAACTGTTTGTTCATTCATATTTTTAGTTTTTACACGGCTCAAGGGGGAAGGTGGTTCATCTATGCCTCACCCTCGTTAAACCACCACTGCCACACGGGCGGTGGTAAATTATTTTTATAAAATAATTTTTAATCCAAGTAGATCGGCTCAGTGTTATAATACGACTATCGGCTCACCGGGAACTTTCCCGGTATCCCGGTGGGCCGATCCTCCGTTGAGTGCAGAGTATAATAAGCATTGTTCGACCAACCGTTGTTCCATTGCCGGCGCGATGCCCTCTTTCTTTTTTTAAACTTGGTTTGCAGGTCGACCGACCTGCTTGATTTATAAAATTAATTGAGATTGATACCAAACTTCAAATAGGTTTTATCATGGAGGAAGTTATTTACGAACAAATTATCAATGTTAGTATTAGAACCTCTTTGAATTTACTATCAAACCGCGTGTATAAACGACCGAAAACCACTGTTATGTTTTTCCACCACGATTATTTGCGTCAAGTTTGTTTTCTTCGTATTTCATTGTTTTATCTTAAATCTCAATTCTTAATGATAAAATTGTAATTTGATTTTATTTCATGAACTTAATTCAGTTAAGTTTTTAGTTTGTTGGTCTTATATTATTACATTACTTTCATTTGATTACTTGGTTGAAAAATTGTACGCCATTTACGGTAAACAAAAATGTTTTCCTACTAGGAAGATTAAGTACTTCAAAAATTATTATTTAATCACTTAAAAATGGATAAATATGAAAATTGGGGAACGGCCGAAAAAAATGAATTGTATGTTTTTTTTTTTTTTATATTTTATTCATAATATTGACGAATAGAATGTAATATGTTAAAACTTCTAAAATTTTTTTGATCATGATTATTTTGACTTTATTTTAGCTTGGCAAAGTGTCACGAGTTTGTTAATACTTCTAAATCAGAATTTTCATTGACAATTAATAGTAATGGCAACCCTACTGGTAAGTCGACAGTGTTTGTTAACTAGTTATTTTTACTTCCTGATCAATTTTTTCTGTCAGAATTTTAACAAGTTTTTCTTAACTAGCGTTAATTTTTGTTTTAGTATGTTTTTCAACTAGCACACTTAATTGTGTATGTAAATCTATACAATTTTAAGTCCCGACTGATAAATTGATTTTAGTAATAGGTATTAACAAACCTATACAAATTTGTGGGTGTTTTTTTAAATTATGTGGATTAAAATTATTTAAACCTTAATCATACAATTGTACAGGTCATTCTTTATCTGAACAATTTTTTTTTTTAAAAAAAACGAATTTAATATTTTTTAATATAATTATTTTTAATTATTTGATTTCATTTTAACTAAAAAAGCTGTAAAATTAAAAAAAAATACATTTTAAGGAGTCCACAATAAACCTACATATTTGTGTAAGTTTCGTTTTAAAACTAATTATTGTATGATTTAATATTTGTTTTTAAATAAACATATGCTAACCTATAAAAATATGTAGACTTATAGTGAAAAGGATAAATGTTTATTGAAATTTATTATATTTTTATTACAAATGTTGTTAATTTGTTTTTTTCAGATTTAGCAAAAGCTATTCTTTCATTATTAATAGCATGTATAAAAGGAAAGATAAAAATGACCATGGGTTTATCTATTTTAAGTGATATAGTAAGTATAGCATTTGAAATACATTATTATATTATATTTATAAGTTAACAAATATTGTATGAGTGCTTAATATATTTAAATCACAATATATTAGGTTAAATGATAAATTATTTTGGTTTTGATTTTATAGTAGATTTTTAAACTTATTATTTTATTTTTAAAAATTTATTATCTGCATACATTTTGAATTTCATATCATATTTTTGTTAATCATATATTTATTAAATTTATTATAAATATAACATAGCAAGATTATAATAAAGCATTATGACAAATTGCATTATCTTTTGATATGAAAATATTAACTTCTGTATCTTTAAACATTTTCTTTTCAGTGAACTGATGATTTCTTACTAAGACTAATTTATTTTTTGAAATAACAAAATATGCTATTAAAAGTATTCTTTGTATTGTATTATTGTATTCATATTATTTTACGATTTTAACCAATTTTGTTTCCTATGTTTTATCGAAATTCAAATATTTAATGAAATTCATTTTTCTTATTTTATTACCAATAATTTATTCTGGAGTATTTGTTATGGATAATAATATTATCTTCTAATTGTATTTTTTATTGAATTTTGCAAAGTTAAATTTTAATACACAGTGTGAATGAATAAAAAAAGTGTTATTAAAATTATATTGTATTTAGTTTAAGATATTTTTCAAGAATAATCTAATATATTAATTACTTATGGTGTCATTCAAAATAAAATAAAGAAGTCAAGCTTAATATAATATTTTTAGAAGTTATATGTATCATAAGACTTAATAATTAAATTATTTTTCTTAACCAAATTAGGTGTTTATATTACATTTTTTTCTTAAAATTAAAAATCTATTTTAAAAATTAAATGCTGAAGAATATTAATTTTTCATATGTTAAAATATTTTTGTATTTATAAAAATTAAAGTTGTATGCAATTTATGTTTTAGTGTTCTAATACAGAAGTAGCTTCTGTTGTAATGGATGTTTTCAACTATTTAGATACTGAAACAGCACTGTCAGATAATGTAGGACCAGATAGAGAATATTTTAGTAATTTTGTCAAAGAATCACAAAAGGTTATTTTTTATTCATTTTTAATATATTTTTAGTAACTTATATTTAATATTTATTTTTTGTTGCAGTTATTAACAGATAAATTACTTAAAGAAAGATTAGAGATTGACTCATTAAAAGATATTAAGTTATTAAATAACATTTTTTCTACAAAATTTATAAAAATAAAAACCAAACTTTTGTAAGTTTTTAATATTTTTTATTTGAATATAAATAATAAAAATAACAATTTTTTTGTATAATTTTTAATATTATTATTTAGCTATAAGCAGCGAAAGTATAACTTATTTCGTGAAGAATCTGAAGGTTATTCTAAATTAGTTACTGAATTAAATTCTGATAATATGGATCCTAAAATTATGTTGGAGATAATCAAGTCATTGATTGGTTGTTTCAATTTGGACCCAAATCGTGTTTTAGATATTATTTTAGATTCATTTGAACATCATACAGATAATAAAGCTGAAAACTTTTTCATTCCATTATTACGTGATTACATGCCTGAATCACAGAGACTGACTGAAGTGTTGGCATTTAAATTACGACAAGTGAATGATTTAACTCGTTCCTCTTACAGATTGATTGCTTTATTAATTCAGTATAATTTAATTGAATTGGATAACATTTATCCCTGGGTAATTTAAGGTACATTTTGCGGGAAAATTTTAACTAAACATCAAATTATTTTAGTTGACTCCAGATGATAAGGATATTAAATCAAATTGGGAAAAAGATATGAAGATTGAGCAAGATTATCTGAGAAAAGCTTCAAGTATGATTGTAACAAAAACCCCAGAATCTGAATCTACTGAAGATAATATTGAACCTAAAGTATAGTTTAATTATTTTAATCATTGGTTTTATATGTTTTATTTAAAATTAAAATAATAATTGTAGTCTAAAGAAAATCAAAAATTCTGCTTGTGTGAAGCAATGTTAGAAATAGGAGATTGGAAAAATGCTCAAGTATTAATTAAAAGATTTCCTGAATACTATGTTGTTGAGCATCCTCCTATTGGCGATGCTCTTTGCTTTCTTATTAATCAAGTTATACAACCTGTTTATATTCAGTAAGTATAAATAATTATTATTTATTTGGTTTAATATTAATTTGTCATTTAATAATTTATAGCGTATTTAATCTTCATTCAAAGTCAATGAAGCATTTATCTGTAACCCAACAAAATTCGCGGTCTATTAAACCTGTAACAACATTGGAGGAATTTCATGATATAGTTTTACCAATGTTAATTACATTAGGTCCAGGCCTATACCGTGATCCAGTTCTTATGTTTAAAGTGGTCAGAATTGTGAGAGAAGCATTAACTAACGTACGTAATTTGTGATTACATTTTTTTTTTTTTTTAAATATTTTTTAAGTATAATAAAATAATATTCAACAAAATTATATAAATAGTAAATCATTAAAACTTTAGGAAGGAATTGAAAATAAAGATTATGTTCCATCTGAAACTGGTTTTTACTTTGATACTTTATCATTATTGGATCGTGTCTTGCTTCCTGCATTATCATTAGCTGAAGGAAGTAGTATTTCTGAACATTTGTGGACTCTATTACAACTATATCCTTATCACTGCAGGTGCTTATGTTTAAAACAACTTATTAACTTTCTAGGATTTTAAAAAGTTATTAATTTGTTATTTGATATTAGGTTATTATTATTATTATTATTTGTGTATTTAAACAGGTATGCACTTTATAACAGTTGGAAAAATGATACACATAAATATCATCCAAAATTATTAGCAAAAAAAATAGATGTACAGAAAAAAGCTAGATCTGTAATGAAGCGTCTTTGCAAAGATAATACTAAACCATCAAGTCGTGTAATTGGAAAAATATCACACTATGCCCCTGGCTATTTATTTGATTATGTAAATTTCAATATATTATTCAGATAATTCTAATAATCTTTTTATTTTAAGAAAAATTAATTATTTTTATTATTTTATTTAAATTAGATATTAGGACAAATCCAAGTATTTGACAACTTGGCGAGCATTGTAGTTGAATGTTTAAAATACATGACAAATTTATCATTTGATGTTCTTGGATATTGTATTGTAGAAACATTAGGCAAAAGTGGTCAAGATAGAGTAAAACATGATGGTACTTCCATTTCAGTATGGCTTCAGAGTACAGCATCATTTTGTGGTGCAATATTTAAAAAACATCCTATAGAACTAACAGGAATTCTTCAATATGTTGCTAATCAATTGAAAACAGAAAATAGGTATATATAATAAGAATATTTTTGGTATCTTAGAACAATTATTATTTATAAATGTTTTGATTATTTTTGTAGTTTGGATCTCCTTATTCTTAAAGAAATCGTATTAAGAATGGCTGGTGTTGAGGTTATGGAGCAAATAACACCTGATCAAATTGAAGCTATGTCAGGTGGTGATCATCTAAAAACTGAAGTATGATTTTTTTTTAACTATTCTATTTTTAAATATTAGTGAAATTAATTAGTGTGTTTTAAATGTTTTAGGCTGGTTACTATAATCAAATTAGAAACACGAAGAAATCTTCTATTAGACTTAAAGAATCATTATTAGATAACAATTTGGCTGTAGCTTTATGTCTATTAATTGCTCAACAAAGACACAGTGTAATTTATAAAGAACATGAATCTATTCACATCAAACTTGCTGGACAACTCTATGATCAAGTATAAATGTATTAGATATTATTAAAATTTTTTTTTAACAATATAATGTAATTTTTAGTGCCAAGACACATTAGTTCAGTATGGTACATTTTTGGGATCCACGTTTTCTATGGAAGAGTATATCAATCACTTGCCATCTGTACATGATTTACTTGATCAACATCATGTACATATGGATGTAGCATTTTTTTTAGCTAGACCTATGTTTAATCATTCCATAAATGTAAGCATCCTTAAGTTTTTTTAAGTTTTTGGAATTATATATATTTTTTTTTTTTTTTAATTTTATTATTCAGACTCGTTTTGATGTATTACGTAAAGCTGATCCTAATGCAAAAAAGTCATTACCTGTACGGCAAACTAAGTATGCAGAAGCTCATAAGGAAGTGATGTCATCAATTGTCAAATCTGTTGTACCACTACATCCTGAAAAGGTATGGGAAGACGTATCTCCAGGATTTTTAGTCACATTTTGGTCATTGACTTTATATGACTTATGTGTTCCAAATGAAGCATACAAAAGAGAAATTAATAAACTTAAAGCTCAGTCTACAGCAATGGGAGATTCAAAACAAGCTGTAAGATAATTTATTATTTATTTACTTTGATTATAAAAATATATATTTAATCATTTTTAGATGTTGGAAATTAATTTATTAAATTTTTGTAGGTAAATTTAAACTATTATAAACTATTATGTTAAGTTATGAATAAGTATGCACATATTTTATTTTTTTACTACCTACTTTTTTTTTAAATAGTTTCGGAAAAGATTTATAATCTTCTTGAAAATATTATCTATTATTATTTAAGATAAACTTCAGGTTTTTCAATGTGCTGTAGTATTTTTTTCATATAAGAATATTCCAGGTGGTCATAAATATAACATTTAATATAATAATTTATAAGTATATTAACCAGTTGTATTTGAATATATTGTCGCCTCAGTTCAAAACTGCAATAACTCAAAAAAACTATTATTGAAATATCGATGCCTTAGTTCAAGACAGCAATAACTTAAAAATATTCGGAATTGTGTAATCTACGTGATATTCTTTGCAAAATTGCGACGATTTCGATTCTATAACGCCATAACTTTTAGTTGCATCATTCACCTCTAGAGGTCGTTTATTTCATTCTGGAACCAGTAGTTTCATAATTTGATTTATTACAGTCTTGAACTGAGTCGTCATTATGTTGTTATAATGTGATACTTAAAATTGTTATTAATGTAATATTACTAAAAAATCTTAAGTAATTTTATTTTTGAAAATATATTTTATTATAAATTATAGTTAATGAAACGTTTAATTATTAGTAAGTTATTCACCATGAAATATAAAATATACTAAGCTGTGTGATATAATTATATTTTCTTTTATATTTCAAATTATTATTTATACTTTATAGTATAATCAAAATATTTCTGGTTGAACCAAAACTTCCTTTTTAATATTACTGAAAGATCAAACACAATATTCATAATAAACAAGTTTCTGTATTATGAGTCAACTCAATTTAGTTTTAAGCAGTTTGATTATATGAACTAGTATGTTACTAGACAATAATTTTTTTTTCTTGGTAGAGTACTAAAGTGAAAAAAGAACAAGAAAGATTAGGATCAATAATTGCTAAATTGAATGATGAAAAAAAAAAGCAACAAGAACATGTTGAGAAAATATTCTTTATGTTGAATCAGGTAAAAAAAATATATAAGAGTTATTTATCATAAAAATATATTTATATGTATGTAATAATAGTTTTCATTTATTTATTTATAGGAAAAAGATTCATGGTTTCTATCACGTTCTGCTAAAGCAGCAAAAAATGAAACTATTACTCAATTTTTACAATTGTGTTTATTTCCTCGTTGTATTTTCACACATACAGATGCTATGTATTGTGCTAAATTTGTTCAAACTTTACATTCATTAAAAACTGCTAATTTTTCAACTCTTTTATGCTATGATAGAGTATGTAGAGTATTAAGTATTTAAAATTTAGTATACAAAGATAATTTTTATTATTTTTTTCAGTTGTTTTGTGATATAACTTATTCTGTTACACTTTGCACGGAAAATGAAGCACATCGCTATGGTATATTTCTAAATGAAATGTTAAAAAATGTAACTCGTTGGCATTCTACAAAAGATATATTTGAAAAAGAATGTGCTACATATCCTGGTTTTGTAACTAAATGTAAAAATAGTGATCAATTCGTTCAATCTAGTAATGATCATGTGGGATATGAAAACTTTCGACATGTTTGTCATAAGTGGCATTATAAGATCACCAAAGTAAATTAAATTTATAAATTATTTTAATCATATTCTGAATATAATTAATAATATTAATAAATAATTTTTTTTTCTTTTTTTTAGGCCATGATGGTTTGTTTGGAGTCAAAAGATTATGTACAAATTCGTAACTCATTGATCATTCTTATTAAAATTGTTAATCATTTTCCTGTTCTGGCAAAATTAGCTACTTTAATTGAAAAAAAAGTAGAGAAGGTAAGAGAAGATGAAAAGGATAAACGTCAAGATCTTTATACATTAGCAACATCATATTGTGGACTTCTCAAAGGTAGAGCTAGTCAGTTTCTTAAAGACTCAGATTTTCATCAAGTTACTGAAAAGGTAAACATTTATTTTCATTGTATATTCAGTATTGTTTATTAAAAGATAATTAATTTTGATAGGTAAGTCAGGTAAAAAATATTGTTGATAATAAGTCTGAAGTTACAAAAAATAATCAATCTATTAAGAAAAAAGAAGATCAGGTTCCTGAAGCTAAAACTCCACCATTGCCTGTTGTCAATGCTATAAATGGAACATCAGTAACTGGTAATTTGAATACTACTTTATAGAACTCCATATTTAATTGTTGTTTAATTTAAATTGTAGAATGGGTCGAAGCAGAAAAAAAAGTTGTGGATACTAAAGTCAAAACAGAAAAACGGCCTCTAAAAATATCAAGTACTGTGTCTGAAAAAGTTAAGTAAGTACAAAATTATATAGTAAGTTTTTTTGTTATAATTTTCATATTTTAAAAAATGTTCCAGTGAAAGAATTATAGTACAAGAGAACTTAACAGAAACATTAAAAGAAGAAAAATCTGATGATTCAAATGATAAAAAAAGAGAGAAAAGACAAAGAGATGATAATATTGAAAGAGAAAAAGATTTATATGTAAATAAATTTAAATATTTCTTAGAGTAGAGTTTTTAAATTTCAGTGTAAAGCTTATATTGTTTTTATTTGTTAAACTAGCTTGATGTGTCCAAAAATCATTTGTCAAAAGATGTAACTAGTAGTGGTTCAGCAGTTAATCATATTATTAAAGCACAGGTGCCTGTTAATATATCTGAAAAATCAATTAGTAATGATGTAGAAGTAGCAAGTAATGGTTCTCATACTGCTACTGATAAAGGTAAGAATAACTAAAAATGTAAAATTATAATCCTCTAGCTTTGTGTTTATTAAAATGATTTATACCAAATCTATAATCTATTCATAACACTGAATAAGAACATTAATAACCAGTTTGTTATTAATGAATATTGTATAATTAATTATAGAGATCAATTGGCCGAGAGAAATAAAGCGTTAGTGACAATAAACACTGTCCCTATTTTAAACTTGGCCACATTCAGTCTCTCTTTATAGCCAGGTGATTTTCCAAAGAAAAAGTCTATCTTCCCTTCTCCTCTCCTTTCAGAAGAAAATTAAATACTAATGATCATATTTTGTCCTCTGGATAAAACTGTCTAACTGTAGTGAACCAACCTAATGGTTGGAATAAAAGTTAAATATATGCGGTTTTTCATTTGCCATATCAGTGAATTTATGTAAATTTAAATTTAATACATTATTATTTTTATTTTTATTGTAGATATAAAACGAAAAAAGTTAGACACCAGTCCAATTACGAAGGTAAGAATTGAAGCACGGACAAAACATATCAATACATTACCACAATTCCATTTCTTCTGATATTTACAAAATAAATAATTAGTATTCTCATCTCTCAATCGAAGTGCTCGAGCAGCCTAAGTTCATGGTGTTGTGTCTGTCGCCTGAAATGATGTTTCTTCAATAATTTATTGTTACTACAATTACTGACATTTTTCGAAAAAAAATCTAATTTGTTCAAATACGTTGGGACATCGAATAGCTGCTGTTGTAGCTGAACATCTTCCTCAACATGAATTGAAGAGCTAACCTTGGTGTTTTTTATTTACACTTATCTGTGTTAGTAAATGAAATATTGTTATTCAATCAATCCCTTCAAAAAAGTATTGCTCTGGTTGTTGTTTTCGTGCTTATGGAGAAAAAAGAAGAATTGTTCTTTTATATTTTAATAATTTAGAATCATTTTGTTATTTTTCTCTTTTGCATTTTTTGTTATCCTTTTAACTCACAGCTGTCCATGAAGCATAATTCTGATGTCAAATCTGAAACAAATGGATCAACATTGGGAGAGAAAAAAGACAAGAAAGTTAAAAAAACTCAGTCTGCTGATCCAACATCATTAAAGGAAACTCGTAAGGATCGTAAAATTAGCCGTAAACGGGTATGATTAGTTAGAAATAAAAATAATTACTAAAGAAAAAATCAAATCATTATTTTTTATTTAGCATGAACGACGTGAAGATACTACGCCTGAATTAAAGAGACGTAAAGAAGATGAGAAACGTAAGATTTTGTATTAATTAAATTTAATTTTGAAAATAAATTTATTTTTATTTATAGATATAAAATCTACTGATATTCGTCATGATGATATCACATGTGATAAACATAGGTCTAGCAGAGTAAGTTCATACTTATAATATAAATCTATTAAACATTTCATATAATTACATAATTATGTAATCTAAAAATCACTTTTTGTAGGAAAAATCACCCCACCCAAAAGAATGGCCTGAGAGAACTGAATCTCGTCATAAAAGATATCCTTTTAAGACTTCTTTAATTAGTAGTATTAAAAATTATTTATAATATAAATTATCATGGTTTTGTAAAAAAAATGTGAAAATAGTTTAATAGGGTTATTATGTGAGGTGAATACAAAGTTATTAGCACACTCAATGCTGATGACTCAGTTATCATAGTTTATTATGCTATTGTCGTAAGTATTGGAGTAGTTTTGTACTTAAGAATGTGTAAATGTGGTTATAAAAAAATACCAGTGAATTAAATTTGGACATAAATAGTTGTCTTGTTACAAAAGTATGACATGTGATCAACGATCTAACTGGAATAATTAACTCAATATAAATTAACCAATGAAAAAAAGAAAATATATAGTTGTATATACAATATTATTTATTAATATATGTTATAAATTTTTAAGTATAAAAAATTTTTCTTAACAAAGCTATTATACGCATAGTAGGACAGGTGATAAAAGGAAGTGATCATATTTTCATCAATATAAATCAACATTTATATATATTGTCATATAAAATTGTGAATAATTATTGTATTTTAAATATTATTTCCATTGTATTTTATCATTTTTTCATTTTTATTTTTTGTTTGTATGTGTTAATAAAGCATTTTCTTATGATTGTAATATATCAATAGTCAGTTAAGCATTATTTTTTTTTTTTAACATTCACTAATTTTATTACACTTAGTGAAAACATTTTTTTATAATAATAAAGTAAAAAAATACAAAAGTTGCTCAATTATTCTTACCATGCTATATTTTATTTTGCAAACATTTTTTTTCATTAAATTTATATTTAATGTCAGTATCGGTACTTTCTAAATCATTTTATGTAATTCTTTAACATGATGATGACATGAAAATGTATAAATATTTTAAATTTTATACCAGAAGGTGAACTAATTGCTTTTTAATGATAAGTAAAACTTTCAACACGTAAACTTATTCAGTTAAGTAAAAGAAAATACATGTTTTCTCGAGCTATTAATAATTATTTATATTTACTTAAGTGATGTGAAAGTCCAACCATGTGACTTTTTTTTAACTTTCTTTTTTTCAAATCCTATTTTTTAGGATGTTTGATGTTCATACTATATTAAAAGGATAGATGGAATTGATTAACTTAATATTTAAAATGCAAAAATATTTAAATTTATACCATCTTAAGATTTCTGTATTAGCATTCAGAGAAAATTCAAGGTTTCTATAACTATTTTTTGGATTAGGACAGGAAAAATTTATTTCCGGCAAATTGTTTTATATGAACATACATATTTTCAATGGAGGAAGGTTATATTTAAAAATTTGTTTTTTTATTTTCTGTATATTTTTAATACCTAATTTTCTGTATTCTCTTCCCAATTCATCAATGGTTTCTGAAATCAGAGGAATATCATAGTAGAAAACGAAGGAATTCATGAGTTAGTGAGAACCCAAATAGTGGATAAGTAATATATTTCAAAATATATTATTATTTAAATTATAATAACTTTCTATGTTTTTTATAATCAGTTAAGTTACCATCCACTTTTACATACAAACATCATTAACTCGAGACATAACAATGTTTGAAAACTATGTATCTAATGTACTTATACAAGCCCGGATTAGGATAATTTTGAGACTGGGATCAGACTATTTTAGTGGCCTATATTAATAAGTAGTAATTAGGGCTAGGATTTATATGCATTTACATATTTTTTTCCTTAAGTCCAAATTTATTGGTTTTCAGAATGTCCACAATATGGTATATTTTCGATTAAATAGTACAATTTTTTTTGCATATTTTGAACATAAATAACATAATTTGAAAATATTGTTAGTTTTTTAAACTTAAATTTTCAAGTTTTTATAATATTGCTAATTTTAAATGGTATTTATATAATGAACGCTTATTTTTCGAACCGTCGTTAATATACTACATAGATAATAATCTTTATATTGGCCGATTTAATTATTCACGCATTATTTAATGACGTACTTATTAGAGGTCTGTACGGGCCATAAATGTTAAGCCCGACGCGGTTCGAATTTTCTGCTGATGTATGTTTTATGCCCATTTTACAGCCACGCGTATCGTCCGTTTTCGAATTACACTATTTAAGTTCATACGCGCCGAACTGACGAAAGCCCGTATGGGTTATTGCGATCGGCACGTATGAACTTCAACAATGCAAGTTGAAAAACGCAACGATGAACGTTCGGCTGTGAAACAGGCTTTAAGTCTTAAAGATATTTTTCAAATGCCGGCTTGGCACTAATGAATGTTATATCACTAAAATTAAATTTTTGTAAAATAAATTTTACATTCTAAAAAAAAACCCGGCTCGGATCGTATTAGATTTAAAAAATTTAAAAGCCACGTATCGTTTAAAAAAAGTCCAGCTCGGCTAGACTTAAATTTTAAAGGCCCATGCAGGTATCTAATAATTATATTGTGAGGCAGTACAGAAGTATTTAATTTCAATTTAAATTAGATTTATGAATAAAATGTCTACATAAGAGTTATTAGGTTAAATATGTTAAAACAATACAAATATGAAATATAAAAAAAAAAATAATTACATATTGTACATTTATACAGAGTAAACACGAAAATCTGTCACCTGATATAACATTTTGTATCAATATAACCATTTTAAACGATTATCTTTGTAAAATCCGGACTTTTTCAAATCCGGACAGATGTTTGATATCCGGACTGACCGGACAAAATCCGGACGTATGGTAACCCTATCTATTGGAAACCATAATGTATTTTATCCAAATATTTCTGACAGTTGGGGTTAATTCATGAATGATTCGATTCACTGAATCGTAAAAATTAGAAGAAGCGAACAAGTTGATTCAGTGTTACAGAATGAATTGGTTTATTGGTGACATTAATTATTTTATAGAGACGAAAGTCAAATAAAATTCAACAATTCAATCTAGTTTGTGATTCAACTCTACTATATTTTACTGTAGTTCGTTGTTATCAGTAACCAGTGTTCAATTTTATGTGAACATTTTGTTATTGCTATATTTTCTGTGTTTATTTTATTTCCAAATTTTTGCAATAATTCTATGATATTTTTTTTAGAAGACTGTTAAATTTAACTAGGTTTATTAAGACTGTTATTTTTTTTTTTTATTATTTTTATAAAATTAATAGTTTTAATTCTCTAAATTAATGTACATACATAGTAATAAAAATAATAATAATAACAACAATGTTTATATTGAATCCAGAATACAAATAAAACATGTGGTCAAAACATATTTTCATCAAAAATATTGAAAAAGTTCAGTTTTTTTTTATAATTATGAGGTCTTGCTCCCCCCCCCCCCCCTTCGCCCACAGTTTTGACATACCTTGGAGGCCACTACCTAAATAAAGCAACTAGACCTACATCTATAAGTTTATACAATTTAAAGATTTGCCCTGATTATCAAAATAATATAATTATTTCAATTCAATTAACCTTATATTTAAATGATTCGAAATTACTGAATCGATTCAATAATGAATTAAACTGAACAAAACTGAATCATATTTTTCATCTCTATTGTACAGTTTATTTGTTTTCTATTTCCGTTGGCTATACGAAAAAAAAAGTACAGTTTATAAGTGACAACGTTATATTTTTTTTTTGTAGTTTTTTATATAACGTCTTGACGGCGGCGTTGTTAGCTATTCCATAATTCTATTCTCTCTGGGAAACAACAACCACCGCGATTTACGATTGGTCCGCGTCGACCTCTGTCGTGGACGTTAGCTGATAAGTACACATTGCCGAAAACAATTTCCTCGTTTAATCGAGACAATTAAAATCTATAACATTATTTAATATACATACAAATATTAATAATAATTACAATTTTCGTTGACACAACCGTGTCACCTGTACGTTAGTGGTCACATGCAAAATCTCGACGGTAAATCGCCCACTGTGGCCATCCCTAAATTACTGAGCTGAATCTAAAACAAAAACAACGGCACAGTTTTGAAGTGTTACGGATGACGAGTGTACCAATAAAGGATTAAATCAGGTATGACAAAGATAATAAAAGAGAGGGAGTATCGTGAGCTATGCAGCACATTTATTTTGTATTAGGTATTATGTAGGTTAATGTTTGTTTTGTTTTCAAACATTTTTGCGATTTCAACAAGGATGCTTTCGATAAGCCCTTTCCATCAAGAGCTTACCATACATACACTTTAGCCGAGACCCCATGGCGCGTAGTTCAGCGCGGAACTCGTCTAGTATACCAAACCAAGTCGAGTCGAGTATATCTAAGGTGACCATATATTTTTCTAGTCAAAACGTGACACAAAAAGAAAAAAAAATTTTAATTAAAAACCATTTTTTTTATTTAATAATTACCAACAAAATTATGTACTATTAAGGTTTTAAGAGAAAAAAATTTAATTTTATTAAAAACAATTACTTTTTTATATACTTAAAAGAAAAAGCGTCTGCGCAAAGAAAATGGTCGACAATTACAGTAATACCGAAGTAATAAATTTTGAAAAATAATTTTTTGTCATCGCTGATCTTGCGGTATTAAAATACTAGGTTAATACGTCCATATTGATACATCATTCGCCGCAATATGTATTTTTATATTTTATTAGTACCTACAGTTTTATAACTATATTCCGATACACCACACAGCTCCGATTTCGTTCAACGTCAACCGTACTAATGTAATACTGTATATACAGTATATACACGTTACATGCACACATAATAGTTAAATATGATAGAAATAATAACTCATTGACAGATTAAATTTAATTGTCGTTATTCTTTACTATTTTCTGAAATTCCGAACATTTTTCTGGGGACAACGGAACGTATGGTCACCTTAACCTTAAATCGTCACATTAGTTCGTCATACCCACAGCCTGTTGCTCGGCATTCATTGCCGATCTGTCTTATCGTCGTTGATTCTGCGTTTTTCTTATACAATCTTTTTTTCTTTTACTGAAAATGGATAACCAAGAAAAAATTGCCAATGTTCTAGCATTTTGTATTATGGTGGGTAGTTTATAGTGAGTTTTTATACAATTACTCATCGTAAGAGTGAAGATGAAGAAAATCGAGAATCATGCACATAATTAAGAAATTTGTGTTTAGTAGGATGTTTAGGGTTCAACGTGCAAGGTTTCTGCTTAACAAGGAATTTCTGGACCATTCTGTTTAATTAAAAAAATTATTTTGAAAAAAGTAAAATTGATTATAATTAACAAAAAACACACGAGCCACTTAAGTTGGTGGGAACCTGTCAGTGGACCGATTTGGTGAGCCAAGCAACAAGTTTGAATTATTTCCTTTGACTCGTGTACCAAAAATCCCCGACAATTCTCGGATGAACACGACCTTTGCCGAGCAACAGTGCGCATTGCGTCGACTCACGCGCCACGTACCGTGGGATCCCGGCTCTAGCTTATTCATTTGTTATGGTGAAATCAATTTGATTACTTATATAATATCGTATTCACGTTGTTTTTATCATAAAGACTAAAATAATAACCATTGGATTATTCTGGTCTTTATCAATAGAGAACACATAATTTTCTGTGAATTATGATCAACTATGATCAATGGTACGGAAATTAGTCTACAATTCTAGTGACGTACCCAGACAATTTTTTGT